ATTTGTTTCGATCTTATTCTAAGTGGAGGTCCAGTTTTTCACGATCTGTCCGCTTCAAATCAAGAACGAAATAGTGTGGTTTTCATAAACCCATGAAATATATCTTAGTTTGCTACACTACCACAAAATCAGAACGGCTTTACGAAAACTATTTCATGATGGGGATGTAAAAGTAATTGATTTTAATTACTTGATCAGGATATGGCACTTCAAGAATTGTCCCTGGTGATGCTTGGATGATAATGATTGAATGATCATTAAATTCCTCAATGGCCTCAATATCGGCTAGAGTAACGTAAGCATCTCTAATATCAGTTAAAGAAAACAAACTTAACAGCAACAATAATATTAATACCAATATTCGTTTATTTCATCCTTTAGCCTGCCGAGCTGATTTACAAGGAAGTTAATAGTAAGACCAAGGGAACACAGCAGAACGACTTTTGTACTTTTGTAACTTTTTTGAAGCTCAAACGATCGTTTACCAATAGCTATTTTGAATATTTGAATGTTTCCGCTGACCATGTGTGACGTCTTTGTTCCGAGGGTGTGAGGTCATTAGAGCGCTGAAGGCGCGGGTGGTGAGTAACGAGGTCAACAAAGCCGTTATATACGATCAGCGGACTGATGGACTGATAACATTAATATAATCAAAATGGAGAGTGCTTACAGTCAAAAGACATGAAGCGCGCAAAATCCAATAATGAATTGAATATCGAAGTATTCGGGGGGCGCGCTTCATGTCTTTTGAATGTAACGGTCGTTTTAACTTCAAAACAGATAGGTACAAAATCCATTTTGCTGTGCTCCCTTGGTAAGACAAACACAAYACAAGAAAAGAAACAGACAAATGAAAAACAACACAAAGCAAATAAAAAACAGATCAAAATTRAGGRGCCTATGAGGAAGTAGAAGAGTTATCTGCCGAATCCAATGATGCAGGAGGAACCGACGGGGTCTGTTCTTCTAAATAACTGTTCTAGTACGAATTTTTTTCTCGCTGGCAACCTGCACTGTAACTTACAGCTGGCTGGGAAATAAGAACAGATATATTTTTCCCATGAACCCGTCGACTCTTCTTAATGATCCAGAATACTCCTTTTTCAAGTTCAAAGTAGATAAAMACTTTTTCGTATGACAACAGATTCTCTTGTGCAAACGCCTTAATAAAGACAAACAAAAGGCACGGAGAAATGTTGTAAATACAATAGCCCAAAAAAGTTACATTTTCTCTGAGTTGATGCCAGCCCTGCATTCCCAAAAGACTTAAACCTGTCTCTGCACAATATGTTTAATATCTATATTAGAGGAGTTAACACAAATTGTTGAATCATGGGTAATCAGGACGAGATTACTCAGAGGCGATGGGGAAGAGATACATTTTTCGCTATATTTCCATTCTGCRGTAAATTTGCGGAACCAAACTTGTATAGTTGATATAGATACCTCTATTCCATGTATTGTGCTGTTAATTGCTAATCGAGCAACATATAAATGATTATTAGAAGGACGGAGGAATTAGATTCGCGATAAGACTTGATGAAAATAGCTCAATTTGATCATTGAAAAAATCGTGCCCAAACCCGATCGGCTCAAAAAAAGCCACAAAACATTGAACAGTCGATTATCGATCTACAGAAAAAGTTTGGTTGTGATGTTTAACTCAGAAACGAAAAATTGCGAAAAACGTATCTCTTTCCCCATTGCCTCTTAGTAATCTTGTCCTGATCCAACAACTTGTGTAAACTCCTCTATGTCATCGCCTTTCTTCGTTTTTGTGAGGAGTTTCAAACTGACAACAGACAAACTTGAGCAAGATTTCTGTCAAGCAGGGATGATTTATCTACAAATAAAACACTACGTTTGCTTCAACACCCAGAAACGATGGTACTGTCGATGGTGTCTTAAAATAATTTAGAGTTGTTTTTTTGATCACTTCTGTCGATCACCTTTCGAAAATCCATTTTTTTTTTGCCAAATTTGAACACTTGAGAACATTGATCGCATCGAGTGACATATTGGCGCCAAAACAATGCTCGATGCGAGCGTGCCGCGGACATCCGCAGTACAAATTGCCTATATGCTTCGTGTCCACCCTTCCTATCGTTTCTGTTCGTACAGGCTTCAAAACCTTACCATATGAAGTGGAGGAAAAGTAATGTTTAAAGTCCGTTCATCTGAGCTGTGCAATTCCGCTTTTCTCTGGTGAGTCGTACGAAAGCTTTAATTTCAATTAGTTTCCACCAGGTTTTCTTTGTTATTCATGGGTTGTATATATCATAGAGACCGATTAAATCTTAAAGCCGGGGAGGGATTTGATATTCAGCAGGGAAACGTGAGGTTGATGAATTGAATTGAATAGCTCATTGTAAATTCATCGGGCTATATATGAGTGACCAGAATCTGCTGAATATCAAATAAACTATAGAAGTAAACTTAAAGGTTTATTTTTTYCCTTGAAAGACCAGCAAAACYTGCGGCCGAGATCATTGAGAGCCTAATAAGTTTGAGGCCCGCAGATTTTTTTCTTGTTCATCACAAGTCTTGGAATCCGGAATCGGCAATGTTTCGGAATGCGGAATCCCACGMTTGGAATCCGCAATCGTCTAGTTCTCTGCTGGATTCTCTTGCATGGGGCGCAAGGGAGACCTCTAATAACTATGACTTGCTTTGATATTTTCATGCATGAGTTTTAAACTTCACATACAGCAAAGAGGAGTATTGTTAATTCCCCGAGTAAGATTTATGGGTGCTGACGGCGTCTAATGCTCTCCAATGCTAAGATATGAAYGAAATTGACTTAATAGAGAAAAGTGCGGGTTGCCTAACCCCATAGGAATGGGAATCTGCATTAAACATTTCTCAAACAATTGGAAATTGGTAAACAAATTTTTGGTAAACTGAAAATTTTCGAAAMAAAACGAAAAGATATATTTATAAACGTATATACTATAGGTTTTCGCAATTCACTAGGTTTACGTACTTGGATAGAGTGGGCCGAACAGCGAAGAAATCTCTACTAACTATGAGCAAATCAAAGAGTGTTCAGGCCTGGGTTGTCCAAAGCCGGATCAGCGCTAATCCTGGGTTAAAAAAAATTAAAAAAAACCCTATCAGTTAACCCTGATTACCGCTAATCAGTCTTTGAACAAGCCGGTCCTAAACTGCTACTTTTTTTGCATGGTCAGTTTGAACTTGGGTATTCTTGTATACCACAACACTCCCGCCTACCCTTTCATTAGTAAGGAYCAGATACACATATCACGGTAGAATAGTTGAAAAGGATACCTAGCAGTTATGTTGTCTTTGGTTATCRTTTGAAGTTCCTCTCGACATCTTTCGATTTCAACATCGAGTTTTTTCTCCTTTTCCTTTAGTATTCCAATTTCTCTTCGAAGCTCCATTAAAAATTGATGATTGTTTTGTAACTTGGAACCCTGTCTGCCAACGTCCCTTAAAAGCGGGCAACAAACCACATTTAGTAATAGGAAAATATAATACGGCTTTTTCCCGTTCAAAGCGAACGACCATTGTTTTCACAACAAACTCATTTGCGCGGAGACCTTACCACTAACAAAGCTGCACGAAAAAATGTCTTCATTACAATAACCCTACAAATTTGCATCTCTCTGATTTGAGGCTAAGCCTGTATTCCCAGAAGAACTGTTGGGAATACAGGCTTAGCCTCAAATCGGAGAAGATTCAAATTTCTAGAGCCATTATAATCTCAGCATTTTTATGTAAATGATATATTAATCTATCAGCATTTGATCTCTATCGCTGCTGTGGGACTCTACCATAACCGAAAAAAATTTATCCTAAATTGCAGTCAAACATATTTAGTCTTGCTTGCAGCGGCTTCTCTCATAAGAATAAAGAGATTGAAAAAGTGTGGGTTTATATAATGACAGGAGCAAGATATGCATGGAAACCTTCGTCATGTTTTCCTAACTAAGGGTGTTCTTCGTTTTGATAATGATCCTGGCACTTTTCATTGCTCATGTAACCGTTGTAATACTTGTCCGTACATTGTCTCGCACACTTCCATTGTTGGTCCTAACTCATCACTCAGAATCACTGAACTCACTGATCAGCTGGAATTTACCACTTCYAATGTTATCTATTGCACTAAATGTTCGCTTTGTAATTTGTTATAWGTCGATGAAACTGTYCGTGGTCTTAGCGATAGCATCCGTGAACATCTTTATAATATTCGTAACAACGATCTAAAATAARCCTGTTTCCCACYACTTCAATTTATCTAACCATTCTCTTTCTAACTTCAATGTTTTTGGTTTGTCTTTGATTAGCGGCAACAATGATTGCCGTAAAACCAAAGAAATGCGGCTTATTCACTTGATAAAGCGATATCACATAAGCAATGTGTGCCCACGTGCCTACATGCT